GTATATTAGACACTGGCATGACAGGAACGTAATGAAAGGGTGCGTTTGCAGTTCAGGAAGTCAGTGTCGGTGTGTGTTTGGAGTCCGGACTGAGTGAAACACTGGTCTGAAAAAGATGTTTTCGATGATGTCAGAGCTGTGGTCTTCACCGGACCACCAGATGGACCGGGGGGGACGGGGACGGTGGCGGGGGGGTCTGTCCTGCTGGAAACACATAAACAGACACAGGTGTGTTTGTGTGTGTGTGTGTGTGTGTGAATGCAGAAGAACAAAGAGATGCCGCTGTAGTGTGTGAAGTCAGCAGGTTACATAACCGAGTCTGTTCTTCTCTGCTGCTAACGCTAACGCTGCCGCTATTGATGACGATACAATGAGATGACACACACACACACACACACACAAACAACAGCCGTGATGAGACGGCACTACAGTATCTGTTCGTCCATCACACACACACGTGTCCACTCAGACGTCCAGCTCTGTGGACGTTTTCTGAGTAGACTCTCGGTCATGTCTCCGTCCATCGTGGACATCTATTTCCTCTGATTTGAGCATAAAAAGCTGAAGGACGTTTAAGGGATTTCAGTCCTTAGACCAGACCGGGATGAAGGAGTTGGACCTGGGGTCAAAGGTCAACCTACAGAGGAGGAATTCTCTGACGGAAACACCACCGAAGAAGAAGAGAGCAGACTGAAGTAGACTGGGTATTTTTTATTATAAATCTGAGAACTCTCGATCGTTCGTTGACTTTTTTTTTTTTTGGTACAATCAGTCCACCAGGGGGCAGATAATGTAGTCCAACACATAGATCAGGATCCAGATCTTTGTCCCTGCTGTTTCACTGGAGGGTCAAAAAAAAGTCTAATAATGTAATAATGTATCGTATCGTTTTTTTTGGGTCCGATGTGGCTGTGGGTTCACGGGTCAGACGTGGCCCACCTGGTCAGGAGTTCAAGGTTCAAGGCTGCACTTCCTGTCTCATCACCAACCTCTAGTCCAGGTCCACGTCGTCGTTGTCGTCTTATCTGACTTTCTTTTTTTCTTTTCTCCTTCTTTACCCCAGGTTCCAAATGTTGAACATGTCCACCCCCAGCGAGCTGAAGTCTGCCTGTGTGACTCGCAACGGTATGGTCAAGTTGCCCCCCAGCCAGCCCAACGGCCTGGGTAGCGCCAGTATCACCAAAGGGACCCCAGCTGCCAAGAACCGCCTGTGCCAGTCCTCGTCCGTGCCCTCCATCCTGCCCCCCCCCACATCCTCCCTCTCCTACCACCACCACCACCTGGACGGCACCGGCCTCCCCCACTCGGCCGCCTCCCTGCTGACTTCAGACCTGGAGCCCGGGAAGCCCCTGGTGGGCCTGAAGCCGTCCCATCGCCAGCTGCCCCCCCTCACCCTGCCCAAGCCCATCCTGCTGGAGCGCCAGCTGGTCCTGGATGAGAAACTGCTCAACCGCCTGCTCTGGTACTTCACCACCAGTGAAAAATGTGTCCTGGCGCAGGTGTGCAAGACGTGGCGCAAGGTGCTCTACCAGCCCAAGTTCTGGGAGGGCGTGACGCCCATTTTGCACGCCAAGGAGTTGTACACCCCGCTGCCCAACGGGGAGAAGGAGTTTGTCAGCCTGCAGGCCTTCGCCCTGCGCGGCTTCCAGTCTTTTTGCCTAGTGGGCGTGTCGGACCTGGACATTTGTGAGTTCATCGACAACTACCCGCTGTCCAAAAAGGGCGTCCGCTCGGTCAGCCTGAAGAGGTCCACCATCACAGACGCTGGTCTGGAGGTGAGTCAGTACGTCTGGAATATACAGGGCTTCCCAACCACTGGCCCGTGGCCCACTAGTGTGCCGTGGAAAATTATCCAATCTCACTTAATTGAGCTGAAAACTATTTATTTAATTATTGCATATAATTTTTCACCTGTCGTCAAATCATGAAAGGCGGAACAATTAAATACTCTTCCGCTAGGTGGCAGCAGATAGCTATGAAAACTGAAAAAAAAGCCAATCAGATCTGTTGAAGAAGATCTTTGTGAGTGTCTTTCTTCAATTCCTGCCAGTAAATCGGCGTTGTCTTCAACTAAACAGGCCGGGATTTTAGTCAATTATGAGGTAATTTATACTAGAAGATTATTATATTTTTATTACATATACTTTCTGTCAGATTTTTGTTTGTTTCTTTGTGCCGTGGCTCCAAAAATGTTGGGAAACAAACACTGGTTTAAAGACCTCTTTAAGAACCGTGAAATCAGAAAAAAAGTGATTTAATAAAGAGTTGAACCTCAGCTCAGGGAACCAGACCGAGCCTCGGCCTCAGTGCGGACCACCCTGGAGCTGAGACTGAACCTCAGGTTGAGAACACACATTAAAACAAATAATAATAAATGTCAGAAAAGTAAACTTCACCACATCTGACCTTCGACCTCATTCCAGACTAAATCTTCCTCAACCTCTAAATTCTCCCCCCACTCGGCGGAGACCTTCAAAATGTCTCCCCCACCCCGAGGACGTTGTGTCCTCACAGCAACAAATGTCCCCACAAGTATAATAAACAAACAGACACACAGTTAGCTGCCTCTTCCTGGGACATTACGTCACCTCAGAGCAGCACCAGCAGCAGCAGCAGCAGCAGGGTCTCTCTGTCTCTGTCTCTGTGTCTCTGTGTCTGTGGACCAGAACTGAACCTCTGCTCAGGTACAGACAGCGAGTCGAGTCGCTGCGATCGTTTTCCTCGTTGACAGTTTAGAGAAAAAAAAAAAACCCACTGCTGTTCCTTCTCCAGCCGGGTCTCCTATTCTGGGATGAGTGGTTGGTTTCCATGGTTACCACTGCAGTCGATGGTTGCAGGATCTCTGTACTGACTGTAGTTTTTACTGTTGTCACTGATGTATCAAACACCAGGTCGTCTCAGCCGACTGAAGGTTAGTGTAGTTTAACCCTGGTTAGTCTTTGATGATCAAAGGGGAACAGATCAAACAAAGACGAGACGTGGGGGGAGCCCGGTCCATCACATGGTCTTCCGGTACGAAGGGTAGAGGTTTGATCCCCAGATTTTATCTGAACATTTCATGTAAACAGTTTGGGGCCACGCAGTGGTGGTGTGGTCGGTGCTGTGGCCTTACAGCAAGAAGGTCAGCGGTTCAATTCCTGATGAAACTGCTAGTGTTTCTGTATCTCCTGTTCTCCCTTCGTATATGTCCGGATGACTGTATTGTTATTGGCTACAGCGCCACCTACAGCCCAGAAAGACCATTTTTACAGTGGATATTTTCCTCTGGTGGTTCACGTCTGTGGACTTTGGTCCAACACCATCCATGACCACCGGGTGTGCTGTCTGTGCTGCAGGTGATGCTGGAGCAGATGCAGGGTCTGATGCACCTGGAGCTGTCGGGCTGCAACGACTTCACGGAGGCCGGCCTGTGGTCCAGCCTGAACGCCCGGCTAACGTCCCTCAGCGTCAGTGACTGCATCAACGTGGCCGACGACGCCATCGCCGCCATCTCGCAGCTGCTACCGAACCTGTCGGAGCTGAGCCTGCAGGCCTACC